TTGTGATAAGCATTCATTGGTTTGGATTAATAGTCATTTGTCACAATGCTGATTTATTGGCTCTCAAAGCTGTCGCTCTTGATCTCAGAGTTTCAGCATGTCGTACCTTACTTACAGCCGGTATTTGCTGTGTTAGTGTTTATCGGCTGGGGGCCTTGGGCTAAGGTTCTTGTTTCATTGTGCTTTATGGTATTGACTTGTAATACAATAGAATCATTGATCATGAAATTGATCTGGCTTGCGTCCCCAGTGTGTTCATCACCTCTATACTTTGGGAGGTATAAAATAGAAGCGTTTAGCAATTACACATCTTTTTTCCCCTCCTCGGGTGGTCAGCCCGTGAAGGAGACATTCCCTTACGTTCCCTGTCCCCCCCCCCCCCCCCCCCAGACCGTTTACAGCATCATTTGAGAGTTCTGAAGGTTTTGAGTGGCTTTTAGGTACCCTTGAGAGCTGCCTGCTGATTGTAATGGGGATCACGATGTTGGCACGTATACAGAGTGTTTTACCCACGACCATTTTGTCTGGTCTCAAGAGTTAAGCAGAGTTGGGTTTAGGCCTTGTCCAGGGTTTGATGATGATATAGGAGGATGAAGAGGTTTTCCCTGAGGCTGCATAGTCACGAATAGTGTGTGGGATAGGATGGGCAAGCATCTAGGCCAGTGGGCCCCCCTCCAGTGCTTTGGAACTTCACCACTGAACAAGTGCAAAATAAAGAAGAATTAATAAAACATTTAAATGAGGTGTGTTGTCATCCTGGTCATACCAGAGAGGGACAAATCATGGCAACATGCTGGGGCTTGGCCTATGCTTACAGAACCCTGTTCAACACCATCAAGCACCTTCAGAAAGAAAAAAAATATCCCTGGATCTGATGGCAAAGCAACAGACAGCGCAGCTACTCCAGTGACAAGTACAGCGGCTACCCAAACCCCAACTGTGTTTAAACCACGACAGTAGGAAACCATGTCTAAAGCCCTCTTAGACCTTTACCAGCCTTTTGGGTTCAAGTTCCTTTTGAATTTTGATTAATCAATCGAAGAATCACAGCTATGATATTATTTTCTGTAAAAGGAAATGATTTTGCATATTGTTCAACATTCCTTTATTCTTTTCACTAGCTTAAGTTTACCTTTCTTATCCCTCAATATCCTTTATCCAGCAGTATCTTAGTATTATTGAGACTGTTTTGAATTCTAAACAATTTTTTGCATGCAAAATTTTTACTAGCCATCAGTTTTTGAGATGCAGCATAAGTATTTGAAGGGAGTTTTTTCTCTGAGCAGTTTACTTGTATAAACACATTTTGACTGCAAATAAAACCTAAGAACCTGTTTCATAGTATTTTTTATAAATAAAAACTTCTATCAGATAATGTTTTTATTTTTTATGCTTCTTAGTCTATTTTTATATTATCTGGCAGATAACAGACCAGTTTAAACTCTATACATCTAAATGATATCTTCTGAACACTTCTTAATATTTTACTGACTTTGAATTATATGAAATTATCCAGATAATTCTTTGGCTCTTCAAAAAGCTCCTCTTCAATGTGAGTAACAATACTATTCTGCATTTAAAGCACATAATTAAATTCTTTACTTACAATTATTCCTATTTCACATTTGGGCTCCCTGATTCAACAAAATTACTGGAATAAAGCCACCTCTCTTGCTAAGAGAGGTATAGAGGTATGTCAGTGAAAAAAGAGAAGACTGTGGGCCCTCTCCAGGAGGTAACAGGAAAGTGGTCACCCAGGATATGGGGAAGGCTAAGCTACTCAAAGATGACTTTTTCCTTGATCTCCACCAGTGAGTGTTTCAGACAAAGCACTCAGAAGACAAAGGCAGGGACTGGAAGAATGAAGAATTGTCCTCTGTTGGAGAAGATCAGACTGAAGACCATATAAGGAACCTGAAGGTGTGTGAGTCCATGGGACATGATGAGTTGCATCCGTGTGTCCTGAAGAAACTGCTGGATAAAGTGGCTAAGCCGCTATCCATCATATTTGAGAAGTCATGGCAGTCCAATGAAGTTCCCACTGGGAAAAGAGGAAACATAGCCTCCATTTTTAAAAAGGGAAAAAAGGAAGACCCAGGGAACTACAGGCCAGTCAGTCTCACTCCAGTGAGCTATGGGATGTAGTAAAGAATGCAATAAATGCTCAGGATCCCTTTAAGCAAATTTCCTGTCATGCTGCAAGAATATAGGGCTTCAAAGCTGGCACAAACTTCTGAGAGTTTCTAAGTGAGTGACACGGGCTTCTTTCATAGCAGCTGATGCAAAGTATCTGGAAACAGATAAGTGTTAGATGCATGCTCTAACAGTAGCATATATGTGTTTAAAAGTGAAAAGATTTGCTTTACTGTCTCTGTAGCTGGAACATTCTAGCCTCTCCTTTCTTGGTGCTTGGCATATGATGTGTCTGTTTGCTGTTACAGCTGCTCTCAACACAAGATCATACCCAAGGCAGGGTTGAAAATCAGAGGAAAGGCAGATATGACAAAAATACCATCTTGAATACTGCTGTTAAGTGAAAAGTAAGCCTCCTCTGAGGTCCAGTGAGCAGATGAAAAAGAAGAGCACCAAACATGCAAAGTCTGGTGGTAAACTACGTCATCACAGCAAACATTGAGAGCAGAAGAAGAAAGAGTTTTCCCTCATAGAATCATAGAATAATTAGGTTTGGAAAGGACCTTAAGATCATCTAGTTCCAACCCCCCTGCCATGGCACCTTACGCTAAATCATATCACCCAAGGCCTCGTCCAACCTGGCCTTGAACACTGCCAGGGATGGAGCATTCACAGCCTCCCTGGGCAGCCTATTCCAGTGCCTCACCACCCTAACATGAAAGAATTTCCTTCTTATATCCGATCTAAACTTCCCCTGTTTAAGTTTTAACCCGTTACCCCTTGTATGGAGCACAGATCGAGTTCTAGAAACCTCATGGTTTTTATAATGCTACTCTGATAACCAGCTGAAAGGGATTATTCTGAGCAGAAGTCTGGTCTTTGAAAAAAATAGCAAATGTGAGCCAGCCGAGCATCTTTCTCTGCAGCAATTGCTATGACCACTGCTGTGGTTTAACACCAGCCAGCAACTAAGCACTAAGAAAGAATTAACTCTATACCAGCTGAAACCAGGACAAGGAATGACTTTGTAGTTCATCGTGTCTTGGGTTCTTGTTGTCATTGTCTGGTTGTTCTCTTTTATGTTTGGTTGGGGTTTTGTTGATTTTTTTTTTTTTTTTGGGGGGGTGGGCATTTAAAATGTAGTTGCCAAATTATCTATTACCAATTGATGCAGTTCTCAAAGATGAGGTAGGAGAGTTTCAGACAAGTGGAGACCAAAACAAGTGGAAGATAAAGATCTGAAGGGCTTGTTCTTTCAAATCATAAACTGGGTACACAATAGAACATGCTTCCTAATCCAGGACGTACATTTATCACAAGTAAAACTATAGGAACTGCATGTTACTGGAAAAGCAACAGGTATAGGTGATGAGGAGACCCTGCAGGCAAGTTTAGCATGAGGCATGACAAATACACATTTTGTCATATGTCCCAAGGGGGAAAATCTGGGAAACTGACAGTGTCACAAACCTGCCTCACAATAGACAAACCTTTGTGGCACAAGGGTCCAGTACTGCCCTCATGAATTGGTCAGTATATAACCCAATAAGCAGATACACAAGCAGCTTCTGGTCTTTGAGAGGGTCATGGAACATTGAAAATGTCATGTAAAGTGAGCAAGATTCGTCTATGGAGAGAGAAAACTAATACCTGAAATTGAGAGTGACCTATAATATGGAAAAAAAGTAAAGTAGCTGGATGGGATTTTTTTTGTTTGTCTTTCTAAGTTTTTTAAGAATTGGAAGAGTTGCCTCTTGATCTTTCTTAAAGTCACATTTGACAATTTGGTGACTAAGGGGATTCTTCTAGAAAGAAGACTCCTCACATCTCCTTCTTCTCTCCCTTTGCCCTTCTACCCTCATTCCTAAAACAGTTTAATAATACTTAGTGCTGTAGTAACTTCATTTTGGTATTTTGAGTGGCTAGTCCAACCCTACTTCAGACCAGTTCAAGGGGTTTCTAAAACTGCAGACATCACACAACAGTGTCAGTACACTGTGGTCACATAAACTGTAGCCAACAAACCATAGAAGTGGACTTCATGTGCATATCTTTACAATCAGCATACTGTGCTCTCACCAGATCCTGTCTGTTCAGCATCCTAAAAATTGGTAGTAGCGTGAAATGAAATTGTAACTGGGAGTTTTGATCTGAGCCAAGGAATTACCAGAAGTAAACTAACTGCTCTGCAGAACAGTACTCTTGATTATCCAATGGTGCAGTAAAGGTAGAAGCTTTCTCATAGTAATTTACTTCTGTATCTCGATCTCTGCTCATGTAAGTTTAAAATTATAAACTTAATTGACCATTACCAATATCCTAAACATTTCCAACAACTGAGAAGTTATTTAAATGAAAAGTAAAGCAAAACCAAAGTCAAAAAAAAACATTCTTATGGAGAGAGCAATAATATCTGGCACACTCCAGGGCCCTGTTTTAAATTTTATAGTATTGAATTCAGTGGTATTATAAACAATAGTATGTGTGCAAAGACATGAGAAACTTTACAAATATTGCTGAAATCTTACAGTACACATGTGAGGAGGGTATTATTTTGCTGACTGAACAAACAATACATGGAGAAGCTGAGGCGTAGAAGAGTTAAGCAAATAAATCAAGTTCACAAAGAAAGTCTGTTGAAAACTCAATTTCACAATTTGCAGTCTGTGTCTTTCCCCTAAAATTATTATTCTTCTCCTTCAGGTTATTATTGTTATTATGTTGCTTAGGGGTACAGGAGCTACCTTGTTTAATTCTCTCACTCCTGACACAGACTATATTTCTACATTAAATAATATGCTTTTACAAACAGTAAAGTTTTATTAACATAAAAAATTGTGGAAAGGAACAAAACCAGAGAAGCTTACCCAAATCCAGAAAACAAGCGACAGAAGAGGAAGAAGCCATAGCCCTGGACAAATGATGAAAGGAAGGCAAAGAATCCATTGACAGACATGCATATCAGGAGTGACTGTCTCCTTCCCACCTTGTCTGCCAAGCCTCCCCAGAAGAATGCCCCCACCATCATCCCCAGGTACACTATGCTACCTGCAATACACAAAAAAGAAAGATGTTTTGTGAGCTACATAACTGACCATAATTGATGAGACCAAAAATAATTGACCTTCTATATTGACAAAACAAACGGTATACAGATTGATTTCTCCTTTCTCAGGGATTATAAATTATATGCACATTTTTGAAAATATATCTAGTGAGAACAGATTTCCTACTGTGTCTTGTCATCTGTTACCAGACACACTGAAGCTTACTATAATTATTAAACAAGGTACCTCTAGCTAAAACAATTAAAATAGAGGTAAATAAGACTGAAGGGGAGAAAGAATGCCACTGCTTCCTCAGTAATCAACTACGTTCATGTTAAGCACTGCGAAAGTTATAACTTCCCCTACAGTAATGAATTGTCGGAACATTTCTAGTATATAAGCAGTTCTGTAGTGGTTTAGGCACTGGGAGTAAGATGTGCTGAGTCTGGGAATAATGAAACAGGCACTTTCCCATTTAAGATCTATAGAATCAAAGATGTCCAGCTTGATTAGTTTTTTCTCTCTACTTTTCTTCTCTGTACTACAGTAGTATACTGCTTTATTTAAAAAGGCACTGTCCTGTATACAGAAAAGTACTGGAATGTTTTGGTTTGTGGGTTTTGGTTTTGGGGTGGTTTTTTTTTGGTTTTTTTTTTTGTGTTTTTTTTCCTCAAAGAATTTTGTACAGATGTATTAGTTTAGCTACATATATGAAAATGGGATAGGAAAAAATACTATGGGGTGATTTTATTTTATTTTTTCTACATTAATGATGTTTTCAACATGAAGTATTTTCCCACAGAAAGGTAAGTTGAAATATTTAACATATTAACCATTCACACGTAGCATATTGTGCATCACTTCCTTTCCAGGGAAACATCTTCTGTGAGACATTCGCGAAGATGCACAACGCAATGAGCACACTGTCAGAAGAAAAAGTATATACCAAGCTTTGAACAGAACCAACCAGATTTCTATTTTATTTGATACATGTCATTCTTTTTCCACCTACTTTCTCACTGAACTTCCCAGTTTGCTTTTTATCTACCTAGCAGTTGCTGTCATCTTCTATGTCTACTACAGAGCAGGAATTAAACATCAAGTATCTGGAAGCAGCTAAAATACTAGCAATCCAAACTGTGTCACTTTTCAAACAGCCACAAGAGCAGACAAATTCCCCAGCAACTCTGCTGGGCTCAAATAGCTGTTTTGTAAAATTCTGGTCTCCAAAAGAAAGACCTCTGCCTTGCAGCAGGTAGTTGGAATAGAAAGAAAGCTGGAAAAAAAAACCAACGAAACACTTAAAGGCCTGGACTTTTTTAACTGCATATTAATATAGAGGTCACTCATCAGCATTTCCATGCTTGGAATTCTAGATGTTAACATTTGAAGTCCTGACATCTGCAGGGTCTCATGCACCCCAAAATATCCCTGCTCCCTCTCATGTGTTGTACAAGCAGTTCCCGCTGCTGCTTCCTTGTGAAACATCATTTTAAACATCCAACAGAAGACCCATTGTGTGAAATTAACATTAGCAAGATAGAGAATTTTACTTTGTCTATGTGAATATGCTGTTTGCATCCATGTCCTTTGCCTTTTATTGTTACCAACACCAGCAAATCAGGTTTTTCCTGCAGCTGCCTTTTTAGCCAACTTAAAATAAGAACAGGATATTTCTAGACTGACCATTTTCTCCAAGAGTCCCTCAGGACAGTCTGACAAATACACTGTTGCTCATCACAGGAACATTAACTATCCCTTTACATAAGCAAGAGCAACAAGCTCATTAAGAACAACAGTTAAACGTCCCCTCAGAACAACTTCTATCAATGAACATTTTCTAGCTGTTACTGGGATCTTTGCCTTTCATCAAAGGATATTAATAAGAATGTAGGTCAATCCAGAATTTGCAGAATTACTGATATTTTTGTTCTTCTTTTTAGCCTAGGAAGGACATGGAGACTACAGTATTCTTTCTGGTTTAGAGATGTTTAGCAACAGACATTTATCAGATAGCTCCTTCATTCTGATCAGAATTTTTTTTTTCCAATAGTTGAAATTTTCTTGTGAATGCATACATTGCTCATACACTTTCTGTTCCTAAAGAGATGAAGTTTGGCAAGTGGCTTAGCATATTTGCTCAACTGCTTTATCTCTTTTGTGGGCAAGGATACCGTACCACGCTCCACGTAGACCAGTACTCAAAAGCAGTTTGGAAACTCCATCCAGCAGACCTCATACTTGCTTGTCAATGTTAGCAAAATTCAGTAGCTGCATTGACAGCAGACTGATTTTAAAGGGAAAATAAAATGGTTAATTTTTACTTTTAAAGTGAAATTCCGTATAATCTCTCATATATAAATCTTGTTGGGCTTTCCCAGTAAACACTCTTAATACTAGAAATACTCAGAGAAGGCCAATCAAATAGTAGTGTATTTCTTTATGTAGATAACTTGGAAATATTTTATGCAAATAGTAATCATTTTACCAGCTACTTCCTTATGATGCACAGAAATACCAAAACCCTGCGAACAACAGAATAATAAAGTTTTCAAGTCTTGACAGTTAAAAACATTAACCTTTCTTTTTAATGACAAGTCACTGTACTGCACTTTGGTCTCTCTTATACCCATGTAATTCTTCTGAAGAGCATTCAAAAGCCACTGCTTAAAATAATATTCTCCTTCTATCAATAAACTGCTATAATAAGCTGGTCTCTGAATTGCAACATTAGCTTATTCTTTCCCATTATAATAACCTTGAATTTTGTCCTAATTGCCTCGCAGACTCTTCACAATCCCTCTCCTCCCCCCCCCAGGAGATCCATTCCATGATGAACTTATTGCAGCTGCCAATGATACCCGTTTCCATGTATTTTCCTGTCTATTTTCTTTTTCATATTTCTTGTCTCTCTTTGTACAGTAGGTAATAGAAACATAAAATCATAGGATGGTATGTGTTGGAAGGCACTTTTAAAGGTCACCTAGTTCCAAACCCCCTGCCATGGTTAGGGACACCTTCCACTGAACAACCAGGTTGCTCAAAGCCCTGTCCAACCTGACCTTGAACAATTCCTGTCATCAGGCATCCACAGCTTCTCTGAGCAAACTGTTCCAGTGACGGACAGTGTCTTAGCCACCTAATCTGCCAGTTCCCCTACAACCTGTGATGCATGTCACCAGGTCCCACGGACTTACACATCTTCAGGTTCCTTAGACCTTTTCCTACAGCAGGTGGGTTTTCACTCTCCCAGTCCCTAGTCTTCTGTGGCTTGGGTGGTGTGGCTGGAGCTCTTGCTGGTGAAAGACTAAGGCAAAATGTCATTGTTGAGTACCTCAGCTTTCTCCATATAACCAGATCTGTTACCTTCTGGAGAAGACTCACATTTTCCTAGCCTTTTTTTTTATTGCCAACATACTTACAGATGTTTTTCTTGTTGCCTTTAATGCCCCGGTCAGATTTAATTCTATCAGGGCTTTCACGTTCAGAACCTAATCCATGGCTGCTCAGACAATTTCTCTGTATTCTTTCCAGGCTATGCATCCTTGCTTCCTCTAACTGTAGGTTTTCTTGTGTGTCTGAGTTTGTTCAGAAGATCCTTGTTCATCCACACAGGCTTCCTGGCATTTTTGCCTGCCTTCCTCTTTGTCGGGATGCATTGCTACTGAGCTCTGAGGTGGTGATCCTTAAATATTAACCAGTTCGCTTGGGCTTTAAATGAAATTAAAACAGCTTTAAACTGAAAGAGGGTTGATTTAGGTTAGATATTAAGAAATTCTTTACTGTGAGGGTGGTGATACACTGGAACAGGTTGTCCAGAGAAACTGTGGATACTCCATTCCTGGAAGTGTTCAACACCAGGCTTGGTGAGGCTTTGAGCATCCTGGTCTAGTGGAAGATGTCCCTGCCCATGGCAGGGGGATTGGAACTAGATGACCTTTAAAAGCTCCTTCCAACACAAACCATCCTGATTTTATGATTCAATGATCCTTACATAAAGAACTACCACAAAATAATATTCCTCTGTAACAAATATTCCTTCTTTTCTCTAAACAGTGCTTGAAGTGGTGGAACAATATGCCCAGAATTTATGGAGTAGGAAATTTTTAAGGTGTAGATCTTAGTGGTTAAAGGAGTAAAACAGTCAATTGTTCAGACATCTGAAAAAGTCAATGGGTACTGTTTTCCAGCAAACATGTAAGATAGCCTCCATGTTAACTAAAATAAAAATTTTGCACGACTCTTTGGAAGTTCAAGACTTCTCAAGCCATGGATTTCCTTTATCTAAGTGCTTGTGATTCCAACAGCAATCATTTTGTGTCTTAATTTCAGATGTTAAATGATTGCTCTTACTTAACTATATGCAATATATGCAAATCCCTTAATGCCACAGCATATCATGTTCTTTTTCTATTACGACTCTTCAGACTAATCCACTCTCTCTGCATTCCCTTTCAGGACAGCTGCAGACAGGCTTCAATCTGCTATTTCATACTCTCTAATGCAGATGCTTAATTACATATTTGGTTTGAAGCTTTTCACTCTTCTGCTTAATATATATTTACAAACTGTTAAGTTCTACTTACTATTAGATTATTAGAATTATTTTTAGCAATCCTGGTAATAGGGCTTATCTGTTTCAATAGGTTAGAAGTAGAAAGCTATTTCAAAATGTTAAAGCTCTTCAGTCTCAATATAAAATTTTGTAGTGCATCTCTCACGCTAGAGTGACTCTTGTACCTTAGAACGTGACTTGAAACTGAGTAACCCGTATGTTTATTTCTCTAATAGAAATAATTCTGAAGTGACAAGTCTTCACATAACAGACCATTTAGCTTTTGCATACTTTTTTAAAAAGCACCTGCTTATACCACTTCTAAACATACCTACAAAACATCTATTTGATGACATCCAATCTGATACAAATCCAGAAACTTCACATAAATAGAAATTAAATTAACTCTATCTGGTTTTCTTACAATACTGATGAATTGCAATAGA